GGTAGTGGCCACGCCACTTCCACCCTAGCCTGGTGGGATTTCTGTTCCCGAAGGCAGCAGCTATGTTGCTGCCGCCAAATATAGCTTTTAATTAAATCTCTCTCATTCTATGTATTAATGAGACTCAGAGTCGAAGGCTGGGATGAATATCTGCTGGCTCAGAAAGGTTGAACAGCAACTATCTTAGCCTGGCATCTCCTAAAGCAGGTGTCCTTCTGCTCTGTCAAAACCCAAAACACACACCACACAAAGTCCCTCCCTACTACTTCCTGTGCATCTGTCTATCATCCTACAGACACCCTCTGATTCTCTATGATTGCTTCTGTCAACTAGGTGCTGACTCGGCTTCCTGGCCCAAGGTTGGTTGTATTTAATTAAAGCAAACGCAAACTCGGGATTCACAGTGTAATTGAATATCCCGCAGCACACTGCTTTTCCCACTACATTAGATTGCTGTCAGATCACAGACTGTTCACAATAAATTAGGGATAGACTGTGGTAGGATTTGATGCACAATAGGTCTGAAAATTCACGGTAAAGCGCAAGGCCAAGAGGAGAAGTTTTCTAATGGGTCCAGGCCTAAGAATGGGCTTTCGAAGAGGCTGCCTAGAAGTTCCTGTGGGCCATGTGGTCTACTCCCTAACTCTTCTTTAGTGACCCCCACTAATGGAGACAGCTTACAGTTGTGGAACATCAAGAAATCGCACTGAATTCAGGGCTGGAAGGATGGCTCAACAATTCAGAATGCCTGCTTTCTGTGCGGTCACGAGGACTGGAGCTGGGTTCCCAGCATCCACATAAGAAGCTGGGAGTCTCATACACACACATGCACACGCACACACATACACACACATACACACACACCACACCACACCTGTAGCCCTCTCCAAGAGGGGTGGAAGCAGAAGAACTATTTCTGTGTTCCTGGCTTCTAGCTTAGCAAAGAAAACGCAAGCTCCAGGTTCAGGGAAGATCCCTTCTCAAAGGAATAGATGGAGAGTAATGGAGGTGCTCTCTTCTGGCCTCTGCATGTGTGTGCAGGTACATGTACCCGAACACACACACACACACACACACACACACACACACACACACACACACGAATGAATAAAGTCTTTTAGAGAAATGCTGTTGTGTTTTTGGAACGTTCGTCCTCATGTGTGTATTGACAATGGAGGGCATCTCTACCCTACATCTAGGAATTCAACTAACCATGTATCACAAGCACTTGAAAATCACTGCATTTGTACTGGCCATGTGCAATAAATACTTGGAAAGTATTTACCTTGCATTATGATAGGTGATTTGATGTAAATACAAGGAAGTATATAGGTTAACCACAAACACTGTGCTTCCTTATATGAGAGACTTAAGTATCTGGAGATTTTCAGTGTTGCCAGGGGTTCCTAGACACTGAGGAATGACTACATGCTGGAAATCAGTGGAAAAAAAATTCAGTATTATTGTCCCTAATTACATCATATCAGCTTAAATGATGAAAGCCAAAAAAGTCAAGCCGTATATTCATTCAAGAAATATTTGCTGAATGCCTGCTAGGCACCCGGTATGGGTGTGAAAATTGAAGACATATTTTATCATAAAATTAGATAAAATTTCTTCCCTTCAGAGAGCTTATGTTCTGGATAGGGGGGTGAGAAAAGGTAAATTTCTCTGTGAAGTCTGCTGATCATAAGAAATCTGGAAAAAAAAATAAAGCAGAATGTAGAGGCTGAGGGATGCTGGGATGTGGGTAGTGGTTGGAGAAGACCATTCTGAGGAGGTGATGCTGGAGCAGAGCCCTGGAGAGGCAATGTGGATGGATGAGAGGGAAGTGTGGTCCAGGCAGAGGGAATTCCAGGCACAAAGACACAGAGGAGAAGGCATGCTTGATGTGCTCAAAACATGATGACAGGTATTTGGAGAGAATGAGAAGGTCACCCCCCCAGATCCCATCGAATAAAGGTGATAGAACAAGGCTTGCCCTCTTAGACGTTAGCTTGGAAAGAGTTCTTTACTTTCCTAGCTTCTTGGGATAAACAGAAAGGTCAGGGCCAGATCTCATCTGCTATTAACTTGTGAGGCTTATTCATTTTCTCTCCTTCCCCACTGTGCCCATATAATTACACTGTAGGGAAGAAAGGATTGGGTTTACTAAATAGAGCACTCCCAAGCATCTGATTATCAGCTATCAACCAAGCACTCTCCGTGTTATTTTCTCAATATTTTTCCTTCGGTGGGTTCACTTTTGAAACTTCTTGTAAACAATGACCTGGGCAGGGGGCAGCAGAGGGCTTGGCTGCAGTGAACCCTATGCTCTTGAAGAGGACCTGAGTTTGATTCCCACCAACCATCAACATTAGGCAGCTCACAACTCCCCCAGACTCCAAGGAATTTAATACCTTCTTCTGTCCAACAAGGGCACCTGCACACATGTGTGTACATGCATACACGTTAACAAAAGTAAAATACATTGTCCAGCTTCTTGTTCATACTGAGCATCCTAATTTGATGTTGTGACTGTGTTTTGAGGTTATTTAAAAATAAATGCAGGGCCTTGGGAGATAGCTCAGTTGGTAACTTGCTTGCTGTGCAAGCATTGGGACACGAATTCTGATCCCCGGATAAAAATGTGCGTGCCTATAATCTCAGAACCAGGAAGGCAGAGACAGGTGGATATCTGGCACTTGCTGGCCAGTCGGATCTAGACAATCAAGGAGCTCCAGGCTCAATGAAAGAACTTGTCTCAAAAAGTAGGTGAGGAGATGATTGGGGAACACACTTGATGTTGAACACTAGCCTCTACACACCCTCTCACTCCTGCACAGATGTGCCCCCACATATGAACACACATAGAGAAAGACAGCCAGGAACGAAGAGACCGAGAGATTAAATAAATACATACGCATGTGCTGCGTTAGCTGGTTCCTCCGCTGAGACATTCCATCCAGGAGGGGGGAGGGAAGGAAGGATACAAAATGGAGAAGTTACAAGAAGTTGTAAGCACTCCTAACCCGGTCCAAAGTTAGGTAAGCCATAAGTAATTGGTAGGTTGGAGGAAGCTTTTCAGTGGCTCTGTCTGGAAGTTGGGCCAACAATTCCAGGAACTGAGTGGTCACTGTGCTGGGGTGGGTTTGGCGATACCCCCAGTCTTTCGGGGGTCTGTGTTGCTGTCAGCATCCCCAGTGACCTCACTATTTCCTCAGTCTTGACGTGGGGAGAATGTTTTCTTCATAACTAGTTTGTTTACTTCTCCCCGGGAAGAGGTGTACCCCATGGACAGAGTTCCTCTTTGAAGGGGTTTTGTTTTCCCTCCTGTTCAAGTCTGAAAATCGCCAGCTGTGCTCTGATGTACTTCAGGCTCATAAACAACTTCAGCAAAAGACGGCAAGTTTTAGCAGTCATTTCAGAAACCAAAAGCTGTTCTTTGGATTTTATAAAACACTGTGCCACAAACGGTAGGAGCTTGGCTCTTGACAGGAAAGCAATGTAAGAAAAAGGTAAAAATAAAAGATGTGCTCAAAGCACAGTTTCAGAGTATGACTGCCTTTGTGGTGGTTTATGGTTTCCTACGGCGACCCAAAAGCGGGTTCCCACCACAATTTGTATTTTAATTGCGGTAAAATACTTTCATCGCAAGGCAATCTTTGTGCACACTTGGGGATAGGGTGGTATGTGTGATATCTACCTGGGAGAGGATTTGCTTGCCAATATACGAGCATGCAGAAGCCCGTGTGTGGATGTCTTCCTCTGTGGCATTGCATATTTTTTGAGACTTGGTCTCTCACTTAGCCTAGAACATGCTGTTTGCCCCCCTGTCTTTACCCTGCCAGCACTGGGATTACAGGCACATGCCGCAAGACCCAGCTACTAGATGGATACTAGGCATTCAAACTCAGGTCCTGATGCTGGGACAGCTGGCACTTGACACATTGAATCCATCTTTGTAGCTGGAAAGTCAACATTGTCATTTTCATGGTCCTCCTCCTCTTGTGGCACAGGGGACTGAGCTTGGAGCTTCTCACATGCTAAGCAAGCCAAGAATAAAGCTTTCACAGAGCTGGTCTATGTCCAAGCTGTGGCCACAGCCCTCTTTTCATTTTGAGACATGGTGTTAGAAAATTGTTTGTGCTGAACTTGAACTCACTCTGGAGTGTATTTCCCTTTTTCAAAGGTGATATTTTTGTGTGTTTTTAAGAAAAAAAAGAACATTTATTCCTTTTTTGAGCACCCCAAATCACATATCACATTCTCCTATTTGGATACAAGGTTGGAGAATATTTAGACCCCACACAGCTGAGATTGCTCTTGGGATCCTGTTAGCTACAGCAGGTCAGTGTCTACACTGGCCCCATGACCTGACTTCTTTACTTCAGAGAAGTATATTTGGAATAGCTAAATGCCACATCTGGGGAAGGACTGCTTAGAAAGGTCTTAGGTGCCGTGCGATGTGCTAGGCACTCCTAAAAACATGGATGCTCACAGTAACTCTGTGTTATGTTCTTCTTTCTCACTTCTGTAAGAGGATCAGGAACAGCCTGTGAGAGGATCAGGAACAGAGTCTAGAGTCCCACACAGAGGTAGCTGAAGCTCTTGGAGATTATTAACACGTGAAACTTGATTTTCTTGGAGAAGCTGGATTTTAAATTATTCATTTGAATTTTACTTCTTGTTACTCTGTTTTGGTTTTCTCCCCAAGTTCTCAATAGTGCATATGTTTTTAAACAGTTGTTTTTTTTTTTTTTTTAAACTGACACATCTCAGTTGAGTATGAGGTATACTATGAAATGCCCACCATATAACTTTGTAACACAAAGTATACAGGATTGACAGGTGGGGTATATTTGCATCATCCTCATGACTCTATGCCTCTGACCCAAGGTATACCAAGTACCTCCCTAGTGGGCCAGAGATGGTTAAATAGAAGGCATGGTGCCTTTGTCCTCTAAAGAAATGGCCACATTCATTTACCACTTCCCATCTCTATTTTTATTTTCAAACAGACTAAAGAGCCCGTCAAGAAAAAGGAAGATGAAGAAATAAAACAAATAGAGGATGAAAAAGCCAAGCAGATATACAAGAGTTGGAAAGAGGATTCAGAATGGCAGGCATCTTGTGAGTACCCGGGGGTTTCAGAAACACCATCCAGGCTCTCAGCTGGACCGTCTTCCAGTGAAATGATTCAGCCAGGGGGCACAGGAAGTGCATCCTTGAGAAGTGTCTTTCCATTGAGTAGTCACTCAAATGTGATCAGTAAGTGATAACTGCTCAGATGCCTGGGTAGCAGAAGGCTTTGCATTCATCTTTAGACCATTACATTATAATGCTTCTGTATGGTAGAATTGTATATCATTATGAAAAATATCCCATGGAGGAATGTCCATTGACATTAAAATATGTCTTTTTCTTGTAGAAGGAAAAAATTATAGGTAGTATAAAATATCACTATTTTAAAATTCTAAATTATGATGGAGAGAATAGGGAGATTATTAACATGTGAAACTTGATTTTCTTGGAGAAGCTGGATTTTAAATTATTCATTTGAATTTTACTTCTTGTTACTCTGTTTTGGTTTTCTCCCAAGTTCTCAATAGTGCATATGCTTTTAAACAGTTTTTTTTAAACTGACCTATCTCAGTTGAGTATGAGGTATACTGTGAAATGTCCACCATGTAACTTTGTACTACAAAGTATACAGAATTGACAGGTGGGGTATATTTGCATGATCCTCATGGCTCTATGCCTCTGACCCAACATTGACCCTCTTTTGAGCTTGTACTGCCAGGGCCAAACCAAGAAGACAGGTCAGGCAGAGGATGGTCTACCCAGGCTTAAGAATGGATTAGAGTCTTCCCTTGGCATCAACAGAGAAGACTCGACTGCCTGATAGTTGCTTGAGACAGGGAGAGAGGCAGAACCTAAACATCAAGATTTTCAGGATTCTAAGGGTCCTAAATTGGTCTGCAGTTCTGTTACATTCCACTATGCTGAAAGTTTTTGTGAAACAAAAAATATTTGCAAGATCCAATCTGTGGCCTTCTTGTGCTAAGCACTGAAACTCTGGTATGATGAAATGTTTTTAGTATGTCTACAATGTCAAACATGACAATATTTAACCCATAATGCCTCAATTATTTTAAAAAACCCTCAATGAAAATGGTTATTGCGAACAAAACAAAATCCTGGAAACTTTGAAGTTGGGCAGAAATGATACATGCCTTTAACCCCAGCACTGGGGAAGCAGAGGCAAACAGATCTCTGTGAGTTGAAGGTCAGCCTGATCTACAGAGCAAGTTCAAAGACAGCTAAGGCTACTCAGAGAAATTCTGTCTCGAACAGCCCTCCCTTCCCTGAAAAAATGGTTATTGCGTCCTGTGTTACTCTTTAACACTATATGGCTAGAACATGACAATGCCCTCTATTTTAGAAAGTAATTAATGTTCAAGGACACACTGGGAAGTGCTTTGTACATTTACTAAGGTGTTCTGGGTAAAATTCCTTTACTTTCTGTCTTTTGGGCCAATTCACATTCAGTGAAGCCTCTAGTGGGCTCTAGATGTGACCGGCCTAGCTGTTCTTTTCCTAGGTCACCTGTGATGGCGAAGTCCTGCCTTCCTAGTCTCTGCTCATGACTTTGAATGCACAGCATCCTGGCCAAGCCTCTATCAGGAATGTGGTTCTGGCCTCTGCTGTTCCTAGTCTCTCCAGCCTCACAGCTCCTTCCTGCAAAGTGAAGTAGCCATCTTGCTATGCATTTCCACTTCCACCTCCCTCCTTCCCCTTTGTCTTTCTTTCCTCTCCTTCTCAGGAAGTCCTCAGCTCCCAAATGCAGATAGGAATGCCGCAGCAAGCATGGGAGAGCTCTTAAAATGTTATCCTAGGTACAGGGAAGTGATTGTTAATATGTGCACAAGACCATCTCTGCCAGGATCCTTCCCAGGGCACCACTGTTCAGTGCTGAGTCTCCTGTGTCTGTGGGATCTGACTGTGACCTTTGGCAAGCCTGATGGACTTCCTCAGATGCTTTTGTCTTTCTAGTGCGAAAATCCAAGGCAGCCGATGAGAAGAGGCGCTCCTTAGCCAAACAAGCTCGGGAAGACTACAAGAGGCTATCCCAAAGGGGAAGGAGTGGAGAGGGGCTGCAGAGCCCTTTGGCTGGCCCACAGAAGCCTAGAAGACCTCCTCTTCCCCCGAAGCCCCAGTTCCTACACCCACTAGGAAACCCTCCAAAGTCTGTAGGGTAAGAAACCACATGTATGGATTTCATCACAAGCCCTGGGATGGGTCGATTAAAGCTATATATCTTGGGACACCAGGAGCTGGCTCACTGCTTAGGTCAATGCAGGCTCGCCTCTAGCCTTGCCTTCTTCGCTCTAAGATATCCACAGTGGCTATAATTATAACCCAACCACAGGGAGAAGAAGTCTAGATAGGTGATTTCCTGTTCCCCGCCTCCACCCAGTGGCAGTAAGCTTACAGGAAAGAGAAAAAGGGAGCATGGGGGGTGGGGTGGGAGGATGGATGATGCTCAACATTGCCTCTAGTGGTAAAAAAAAGAATAACAAAGTAGGATCCTGCAAACAAGCAGACTCTATCCGCAAGCCTGGGACTGCCATTGACTGCTGAAGAGTCAGGGTTTGAGGGCAATTCTCTTTCTAAGATGCAGAACCGAGGTCATAGTTTCAGAAGTTTGAAATGCTCCATCCTGGATCCAAGTCTCCATTTGGTGATGAAGGCACCTTTACCTTCTAGGCATAACACATGCTGGTAGGCTGAAAAAGAAAATACTGATAACTGTAATAAAACCCCATCCCTTAGGTTTACTGACTATCAAATTCTTCTTTTTCCCGAATGACTACTGATCTATAGACTTGTTAATATTCTAATATTTTTTTATTGCTTGTAGTAGGGATCAAACCCAGGGCCTCTCACATGTTAGGTAAATACTATACTACTAAGCTACATCTTCAGCCCTAATATTCCAATATTTAGAAAGAAATACTTAAGATCAATTTTTGATTTCATGATCCAGACTGCAGCTAGCATTGTCTTCTGAAATAAAAACTAAAAATACTTCTCCATTAAGAGTTCGGCAAAATGAAACAAACGATCTTTGGGTTTTTTTTTTTAATTTAAAAAAATTAGTTTTTTCTAAATAGGGATTATGACCTCAGAGGAAACACAAGGGTGACTTGTTTCTTTTTCTGTAATTGTTTCTTCCCACTGCCCTGAAAGTTCCATATTGAGACGTGGTGACCAACACTATGGGAAGTGAGGTTTTATTTTTTATTTTTCCCCTTACAGTTAAAAATAAAAGTCAGGAAATACGTATCTCCTGTTATCTTTGTAACAGGTCTCAAATAAACTCCTGCACATGGCTCTGCCTAGTGTAACTCTGGCCACAGAGCTTCATGAACAGCTTTTTCTTGTTTTCTAGCACCTTCATGGGATAGTATGGATGCGGCTCACATGATGTCTCTTTCCTGTAGTTTTTAGTGTATTTAATGGATGGCAGTGTAGGTGGCCTTTAAAGGGAAGGAAACGGTTCTTGTCAGTTGTGCTCAGATCATTTTTTTCCAACTTAAGACACTGTATGAAGAGCTCTCTGTGTGTCAGAATGGATGGGGCGAGGCTTGGGACTCTGGGCAGCTATGACACAGGTCAGTCAGGAGCCAGCCCAGAGAAACACAGATGCTAGCCTGTCCCATGTATGTGGAATTTTACTCCATCTCTGAGGATTTTGTGGAGAAAAGGAAGCTAATGTGGAAACTAGTGTGATAATTTGTCTTATAATCTCACATGTATATGCCAGGTCTGCTTCCTGGAGAAGTCAAATATTATAAGACATTTTCTCTCAAATCCTCTGAATGTCATAAATGATAATACATAACTGTATTTGCATATATGCATGAAAGTTTCCTCTGCTCATCCAGAGGTCGGTTGAGCAGGATTTGGGAATAATGTTTATTACCTTGCGGTTCTGCCTTCTGTGGTGGGACCCACCCACCCGGGATCCCCCTTCCGATGCCGAGTGGATTTCAAGATGGTGCTGTTGTTTGTCTTTCCTTCCTGGTCTGCAGACTTACTCCCTTTACCTTCTTCTTCCAAGAGCATCTTTTAGTAGAAATAAACCTGCTCAGAATGTGAGAGAAGAAACAGGAGAAGGAGGTGAGCAGAAACCGAGGAAGAAGAGGAAAAGCAAGTGATGAGCGAGTTAGGGAGGCAGCTAGCTCATTAGATTACGTGTGCTTGCCTTTGTTCGCACACCCATCCTCTCCGGGAAAACAGCTCCCACTTCTGAACGCTTCTTTCCTCCCATTGTTAATTGGAAGTTAGTGGATCTCCCAACCCATAGTAAAGTGAATTTGAATCTAACACAGTAGTGGTTATTGCTCTAACTGGTCCTTTAGGACCAGACAGATGAATGTGTTTCTCCTTCTCTGACCTTGAAGAACCATATAATGGTGGCATGTAGGGGGCCCAACCTACCATTAACTCTTCCTTGTGATTAGATGTTGGAAATGGAAATGAATGTAATTCTCTCCTCCCACCTCTTCCTCCCTTGTCTTCTCCCTCACCCTTTCCTTCTTCCTCTCCCCTCTCCCTCTCTGTATAAAGTCAGCCATCAATATCTATGGCAACAATTCCCAAGACCCCTTGAAGAGACCAAAATGTGAAAGATGCTCAAGTCCCTTGTATAAAATGGTGCAATGTTTGCATATAATGCATGCATAGTCTCCCTGTACTTTAAATAATCTCTAAATCACTTATGATGACTAATATAATGTAAGTGCTATACAAACAAGTAAATCCTTATATGGTATTGTTTGGGGAATAATGACAAACATGTCTGTACATGCTTAATATAGTAGAAATTTTTTCTTGAATATTTCCAGTCCTTCATTGTTTGAGTTGATACAAGTCAGTTTGTGTGTGCATATGTATACACACACACACACACACATACACACACACATATGTATATGTGTAAGGCTATATACATATATGCATACACATAATGGATCATTATTTTTCCCTTAAATTACAATTAAAACTTTAATTCTCCTTTAGCACAGATAAAAATATCACATCTATACTCAGATTATCATAAATTCCCATAAGCTTGTTTTTTATTGAAAATGTATACACTCTATTCTGATCACAGTTCCCCCTCCATTTCCTCCCAGGTCCCCCCAACATCTCCATCCATCCAACTCCTTACCTTCTTTCTCTCTGTCTTTAGAAAACAAGCAGGCAAATAGAAAAGCAAACAAATCAGCATAAAAAAATAACTTAAAAGAAACAGTAAAAAAATATAAGACAAACACACAAAAAATAAAACCCATAAAAACACACAATTAGAAATCATAATAAACAATCAAAAGACCAGTGAGATTTAAAAAAATGCCCAAACAAAATATTATAAGACAATTTTTTCCCCCAAAACACCATTGAGTTCATTTTGTGTAGGCATTTACTGCTGGGCATGGGGCTTCCTTTAAGTTTGTACACCCAATGAGAAAACTATTTTTTTTCCTTTGTAAGCAGGTGTCAGTTGGTCTGGATTAGTAATGAGAGCCCATGTCCACTTCCCCCTCTCAGCACTAGATCCTAGCTGATTCAGACCTGTGCAGACCCTGTGCATGATGCCACAGTCTCTGTGAGTTCCTGTGTGCTGTGTCTAGAAGATCTTTTTCTTGGTGTCATCCATACCCCCTGGCTATTCCACTCTTCTGGTGTCCTTTTCCACACAGCTTCCTGAGCCCTGAGGGTAGGGATTTGATGGAGACATTTATGGCTGAGTATTCCAAGGTCTCTCACTCTCTGGATAATGTCTGGCTGCGGGTCTCTGTATTTGTTCCCCTCTGCTGTAGAAAGAAGCTTCTCTGATAGTAGCTGAGCCAGACTCTGATCTATGAATATAGCAGCATGGAGGACATTATTTCAAAATAGTTAGCTTTAACTTGAGAATCGTCTTACCCATCACAGGAATCAGGGAGTGATAAGGGCAGAGTCCAGCTCCACCCAGGAGGACATCATTCGATGGTTCAAAGAGGAGCAGCTGCCATTCCGTGCAGGTTTCCAGAAAAACTCAGACACCATCGCTCCCTGGTTCCACGGTGAGTACCGAGACCATCTCTGTGGCAGATCAGACATGTTTGCTCCAAGAAAGACAAACAATGAGGACTTTCCCCTCCCTTCTTCTTCGTGCTGTACTAAGAGTCTTGCGCATTATTCTCATGAAGCATTTTCTCAGTTCTTTCCAGAGGGCTGCTTTCTTGTGCCTACTTAGAAAGTAGTCAGCATTCATGGCCACTGTGCATGATGCGGGTTAGGGTTAGTTCTTCACCACAAATACAACACTCCAAGATAGATGGGAAAAGCAGGGCTTCATAGGGACTCAGAGGAGAGAGTGTAACTTCAGCAAACACCACTGTCTTCCTCCTCCACTAGAACCTCAGTGGGGGCTGTTTGATGTAGTGGGGCCGGGTCGGCAGGCAGAAGGTCAGCTTTCTTAACTAGTTGAACTACCCCGAAAAAACAGTTCTCTTTCTATAGCTGCTCAACCCACTTGAACCCCAATTTCCTCATCTGCTAAATGAGAATCTGAAGCTTTTTTGATCTTAAAGAATCCTGTGACTTTGATCCTTCTTTTTTGATGCTCTAGTACATCGTCTGCAAGATAGAATTCTTTGAGTCCTGGGATAGTATTAGCTGATCATTTCAGCATTTGCCTTAAGAGACGGTTAACTGAGGCTCCTCTGTCGACCCAGGTCATTCTCACTGGCTGCTTCATTTTAAGAAAAGTCGGCTGTTTCTTTATGGCCTGTGGTTAGGTGACTGGGGTATAGCTCTGACAGAGTTATTTGCTGAGAATGTATGAAGTGCTATTCTAATCCCAACAGAGAAAAGAAAAGAAAAGAAAAGAAAAGAAAAGAAAAGAAAAGAAAAGAAAAGAAGGAATTACCCGTAGTTGAATTGCATCCAAGGCATTCTCTCCCACTTAGCAAATAGAGTGTCTTGGTTTGAACTATGTTTAAGGCATCTCACTTTTCAGTAGTGTCATTGCACACATAAATACACCACAGAAAAGAAGTTCCCCAACACACAGCGTGAGCAACCACTTCTAAAGCCCCCAGCTCGTGCGTGATGGCTTTTGCCTGACAGCTGCTTTTGTAGCCTGTGTCTCAGCAGACCTGCCAGCTGTCCTTGAATGTGTTTGAAGGTCAGACATTGGTTTTGATCATTCCTGAAGGACTGCTACCCCCTCCAGGGGCAGGGTGGCAAGTGTCTCTCCCCTCTGTGCAGGTGTGCTGCCATCAGAGACTAACAGAGAACTCTGCTGACTCTGCATACCTCCGCCAGGGCCACCTCCATTGTCCGCTGTCCATGGTTTCCTTTCTAAGATAAGCAGAGGAAATCAGCGTTTGTAGTTCCTGTGGCCTTGGGCAGCTGCTGTATCCCATCCCTGATTACGAGAGCAGTCACACTTTCGTTTCTGTGGTTTTGTTTTTTTAAACAGCAGGGTATGAAAGTGTTATTGGAAGTGTTAGCTGATGTCATTGAGAATTCTGATATATGAACTTCTTCAGTTCTGTCTGAAAGAGTCGTGGGAAGCTAGAAGACACAGCAGGACTAACAATCCCCAGGTAGCTTTGCTTAGAAAATACAAATCCAGAGTGTTACATATAATACTTTATAAATATGACATTGTTGTTTTGTTCTACAAATATTTATCATGGTTATAAGCAAAATAAATAATATGATAAATAAATAATGTGATGATAAATATGCAGTCAGCATATATCCTCATCTTCCATTTTAGGAAGACTGAGTTTCACATTTCCATGATGGAGAGAGGGTGGAGCACACTTTGTCTCTCTGAAATACAACTGCTCATGTGTTTCCTAGTTAGTAATATAGAAATGGCCTGATATAACTCTGGAGTACATCTCATCACACCCACATAGCATAATTTCCTCAGGCTTTATCCAGATATAGAATTTCTGGAAAGGAGAGACATATATATGTTTAAGTATGCATGTTGAACATTCCTAATCCAAACAAAATCAGAAACACTCCAGAACTTGAGCTACCATGTTGCTCAAATACTTCAGATTTTAGAACATGTCATGTCCTATATTTTTTGGTTCTAAATGCTCAACTTGTGGGTCTACTGAAGTACGTTATCATGAAAACAACCTCCAAAATCGGAAGCACTTGTGGATAAGCGTGTTGAACAAGGTACACTCAGTCCACACTGAGTGTTACCAAATGCCCCTGACGTGATGACTCCAATGCATACGCCTCCGTCCGTCCGTCCGTCCATTCCCGAGTTTCTGCTCTTCTCCGTGCTTGCCCATGCTGGATGTTGCCTGACTTCATTTCCTTCTGTCTTGTGGGTCCACAGTGGAACTGTGAGGATTGGGCTTGCCCTGATGTGCAGTGAGCCTGGGCCCCTCGTGTATTGGTTGGGTGAGTGTTTGCTGCAACAGTTCTTCAGATGTTTTGATCATTTTCCAGGATATTTATTGAATTTCTGTTTTGATTTGTAGAATTGTATATATTCTAAATACTCATAATTTATCAATTATATGGGCTAGCTATACTTTCTTTCAGTCTATGATTTACCTTTTAACACCCTGGCACATTTTGAGGCACACAGTTTCATTTCAGCACTGTTCAGTGTGGTTTTTCTCTTTTATGATTTTCTGCTTGTAGCACGTACAACCGGCATGCAATTTATTTTTTTCTTAGATACAAGGTATACAGATATCTTTCTGTTTATTATTGTGTTAAACTTCACATTACTTAAAATTCACCACCTTAACCATTTTTATTGCTTTTTTAAAAAGAAAACACTTTTTAGGAAGCATAGGAATAATGGTTTTTCTTACGATATTTCATACATTTGTGTATTTCACTTTACTGATATTTATCCCGCCCCATCAGCTTCCCCTGTTCTGCCTCCCTGTCCTGTCTTAGCAATGCTATCTATTTATGGGTGCACGCGTGTGCTGGCCTCCATGCCTGTGCATGAGTGTGTAGAGGTCAGTGTCAGGCTTCTTCCTCTGTCACTCTCCACTTTGACCTTTGAGACAGGGTTATCACTGATCCTGGAGCTTGCTGGCTCTCTCCACTTCTCCAGTACTGAGCCTCAGTACTTAGCACCCAGCTTCGGTGTGGGTGCTAAGAATAGGAACGCGGGTCTTTTGATTGTGTATTAGGTACTTTAGCCACCTCCTCAGCCCTTTCACTGCCGTTAAATGCGTTGGTGTTTGTTTTAGGTATAGGCGGTCTCTGTGCCAAGGATCAGTGTGAGGTGTAAGCATGAGGTCTTTTCATGTCTTTCCTGGGCCTGCCCTATATCTGGGTATCTGTGATGACTTTCTAATTTTATACCATATACACCATTGTTTTTGAATGTCCTAGTCTTTAATTCTGCTCCCCAAGGGTGAAAATGAAAGAGGCAAGGAGTTTGGAAACTTAATTTCCAGAACATCAAGCTGTGAGTTGCACTTTCTCCCTTGTGAATGGGGAGAGGGTAAATATGCGCAGGGGTTTCTATAGAGAGCAAATGAGCTCGTGTGGGAAGAGTTCAGAGGAGCCCCGGAGAACAAGGCTTCCGTTCTGGCTCCTCAGAGGGATGCCTTGGCCCTGCCTTTGCTTTCGCTCTCCCCTTCATCACGGTCTCAGCGTCCTGAGCAACAGTTACACAGGGAGCGTGTGGTTCTTCACGCTGTCTCCTTTGCAAGTACTGACTAAGGGCCTGTTCTTAAGAAGTCAGCTCCTCTCAGAAGGCGATAGTGACATGGGAGAGAAGCCACCACAAAGGCTCAGAGGGTTTGGCTGTTTGGGAAGTTGGCCTGTCAAGGCTGAGCCTGTGGGAGAGGATGCAACCACCAAGTGGTCTGGAACTGTGGAAGTAAACTCTTAGGTCCCCGACACTCATGATCTTCCAAATACTGACATTAAGTCTGATTTTTGGTTTCCTCAACAAAAGGGATTATTTCTTCTTGTCTGTGTTATTTTTATCTCTTCCCATCCTGCTCTTCTAGACTGTAATTCTCTGCTCAAGTGTCTTGTCCCTTGAGTACAATGCCAGTTTCTAATCCATTTGATTCTTGCAGCTAGCACCAGAGTCCTGCAGTCTTTCAACCACACTGTTCAGTCTCTGGTGTTTATGAAGTATATGGATAAACTCCAGAGAGTCCTCCTGCCCACCTGACCAGCAAAGTCACCGAGCACAAGCTAACCCCAGGTTCTGAGTCTCCAGAATGTATTGATACATAATGCATTATACCCACTAACATGCTTTGTGGACTCACTGAGAGAGTCAATGAATAAACACAGCTCAGGTTTGAAGTTCTACCACAAGTTCATTTCTTCACTCTACCAACATTTCCTCACCTCTCCTGAGTAGACAAAACTGTAACAGTGTAGGTGTCTTAGAAGCTGCCAGAGACTGAAGTATAAAAACAAGTGTAAAAACACAGAAGGAAGGTAGGAACTGAAAGGATAAATGGCGCTGGTTGTTCGGTGGAGGAGTCACAGGCCATGGCTACCAGAGTTAGAACGGGCTTTATTAGAGAGAAGAGGGGATAGGACAGGAGAAGCCAGGCTGACAGAGAGGAAACAGAAAGAGAGGTGCAGAGAGAGAGAGTGGGGGTGCATGTCTGGCTTGTAGGCTGGGACACAGTTGCCCACTGATGATGTAATAAGGCGACAGACAAGACCCCCAAGTTGCGAGTTGCGCATGTACAGAATCCTAACAGGAACCCATTTCTCTTTGAGGGTTTCCTCAGCAGTCTTTGTTGCTGGGTAATTTCACTCACACACTTGCTTTTCATATCAGGTTGAAAGTTAGTTTTGAAATTGTTAACAGTTACCAAATAGAATATGACTGAGCTCCGTGAAGTAGCCCCATCCTTGTTTATTCCTTGTGGATGCCTTTTGCTGATGTGGCATGTAACCGAGCCTGCCTCCTAGACACTGTAGTCCCAAGAATTTATACTTTAGGCCACTCTGGAAGCAAATTCTCTACTTTTAGTGGGATTTGACATTGTTGGATCATGCTACAGATGTTTACATTGCTTCTAGTTTGATACAGCTCTCTGCC